CCGGGGAAGGCGGGCTGGTAGAGGTGCTACTGCAGCCCCGCGCCGTTGGAGCCCGCCAGGCTGTTGGACAGGCCCATGGAGTTGGGCGGCGGCCCCGCCGCCAGGCTGCACTGGGACAGCGACTGCGCCATGGCTTGCTGCCTGCCCAGCGCCGGCGGCAGCGGCAGCTGCGACACCCCGGGCATGGCGGCCGCCGCCCAGCGGGTGTCGTTGGCGTGAAAGAGCACAGGCTGTCGCCCATGGCGCCGCGGCGGCGGCGGCGGCGGATGAAACTGAGCAGGCCTGGCGTGGGGCAGCAGCGTGCCGGGCGCGCGGGAACACATTGGTGGTCTTCTTGCGCTTCTTCCACTTCGCGCGCCGGTTCTGGAACCAGACCTGGAGCGGGCAGGGAGGGAGACAGACAGGGCACTGTTAGGGAGCGGGCGCGGCCACGAGGGCGGGGGCTTGAGTCCGAGAAACTCGGTCAGATACACCCACTCAACTCAGGCCGAACAAGTGCCATAGGTCCGACGCGCCCCCACATCCAGCCAGAGACCCTGGTTCTCCAACAGCGCGAGTCATCCCGCGCCCCTTGCACCCACCAAGGGCCCACTCCCTTCCTAAGTGATCGTGCCCTGAGGCGCTTGCACGGAGTGCAAACATACCCCCATGCTCCGTGTTCACCAGGCCCCTGCATGCGGGCGCATTCGGTGCACGGCTTAGATGCACAGGTCTGCAGGCAGACATGTGTCAAGGCTGGATCCACAGGTGTACAAATGAAGATAAACATGTGTACCCATGTGGCTTAATAGCGTGCCTTATAACACTGATTGGGGTATAGAATTTTCAGAAACGCTGGAAATTTGGAAATTGATGAAGGGCCGTGCATGACATAGCTGGTTTCAAAATCGAAAGACAAAGGAAAACCCCTGACGCCACGGATGACAGAGCAGTGATTCGTGTGGGAAAGCAAGCGCTACTGAGCCACAGCGTTGTTTGGGTCGCCACCATGACTTTCTAATTCATAGCAACCAGCACTACTGACACAAGTCTCTGCCTCATTCACAAACCCCTGCAAAGGCACCTTTATCTGCACTGTGCAGGTGTGCAGCGACCTGCTGCCAGAGCCCTGGGCCCCAGGGCCTTCAAGTTTGTTCTTTTCGGGAACTTACTGAGGATCCCAAACAACAAGGCTTCCAATTTCCTCAACCCCCTTCCCCTTTCACCTTTAAACCAGAAGAAATCTTCTGACTGCTATAAATTAAAGGTCAGTTTAAAGCTCACACTAGTTATGAGTCAAGTTTAATTTTGCTAGACAAACCCATATGTCTTTTTAAATGAGATGTGCTTGATAAAATAAACTGCAAATGGAAATAAGCGTCCTGTGCGTTCTTTCTTAACAATGACCCTGGAATTTCAGGCCTTGCCAGACAAATTAACCTATAGATGTTATATCACTACCGCAGGGAAGGGAAACGTTCTTCCTGAAAGTAAACTGCCTGATCAAGATAACCTCTCATCATCCATATTTTAATTTGATCTTTTTTTAAAAAAAATTAGCCAGCATGCTTACTTGGCAGGCTTTCAGTTTAATATCTAGTCAGTTGAAGGTTTACTGTGCATACATATAAATGGTAGGGGACACAGCTCAAATACTGATTGAGTTTCATCTTAGAATTTGGCCAGTGCAATTTGACCACCATATTTGTGGCCAAAAGGTTATTCTTCAGTTAACCCACGCTCTTTAGTGTTTATTCTGAAAGCTATAGTATCATGAGTCCGGAAGTACCTGACCCCTTCTCGGTAAGCCAGCTATGCACTCTCTGCTCATCAGTGTCAACCGCATTTTGCAGTCTAGAATTCTGCCCGCCTTTGGGCTGGCCATGGCCTGTTCTACTATATCGGGCTATCGCCCACCATTTTATATTTCTCTGCTTTCTTCCCCATTTCCCATGTTTCTGTTTACACCAGTGTCCAGATTGGGTAAAGACCTCCATCCCTTTCCTGCTAAAGCCCCTTGAGCTGGTGGCACAGCGGATTAATGAGGCAGCAGGGCCAGGGTGGTGGCTGGGATCAATGCAGCCGGTGGTGGATTGAGCTGTTAGAGGCCCTCTGTGGAGGGTAACCCGCAGGAGCCAAGGAAAGCACAGCGAGGAGACCTGCGGTCACAGGTCGCCTTGTCCTACCCATCCAAGGTGGGGTTGGGGGAAGGTAAACCGATGGGGCCCTAGACAGAGACCGAGTCTGTGTCGAAAGGGTCCCTCAAATCACCCGGATATATTTTGCTAGATATCTACAAATTAATTGCCTGTTTCTAACACCTTGCAAGTTTCAGTGAACCCAGAAATGCTTGAATGTTTGGGATGAACAGCAGGGGAGGAAGGTGGTGGACTTCTGTGGGGCAGTGGGGAGAGAAACAGAAGAAAGAAGGGGGAAGGCTTGCCCGGTAGAATTTCAGTAGAAAATACACCCACCAGTAAGGTTTCTGAATCTCAGGCACGGGAGGAAAAGAACAGTTGTTAAAAAACTAAATATTGTAGGAATATTCGAAAAATAGTGCTCAGTTATGTTTGAGGGTTAGTAGTCAAATGATGGCTACAAAATTTTTTATGTTTCATGGCTTACTGGGGTTGGGGGAAAAAGTCTTCATGGGGTCTGAGCACCTCCGTTCCAAGCTATGATGCATATGTTTTTAAAATGTGAATGTTTCCACTTGAAAACTAGAGCATGACGGATTAAAATGCAGGCAAAACCTAAGGGAGATTTTGAGAATGCACAGATGACAACTCCAGGAAATATATTAACCGCAGCCACGGGCCAACTTTGTACTCAGTTTGAAATGCAGCTCTTCTCAGAAAATGCTTAATACAACAGTGAGAATCTAATGGAGGTTGGAATTTAAAAATCCACTTTTGTGATATCTGCTGTTACAGTAATATAGACATACTGTAAATGTATTTTAAAATATATAGTCCGTTTAATTCCCCACTTATAAATGGCTCAGAAATAGAGAAAGAGAGGGAGAAGAAGAGAATATTACTTTTTCCCCCTTCCAAGCAAATGCTTTATGAAGATCTCATTGGAATCCAGCAAATGATTAATGTGAAGATTTGGGAGGAAATCTGGGGAGCTGTATTAAAGCCTAGATCTCAGGTTCATTTCGATCAGCCAGCCGTGAACTCTGGGCCGAATTCATTACGCTTTAATAGTGCTGGGAGAGGAAGAAAATGCAATTTCTCATTCCATTAGAAAACTAGAAAATACTCTTAGCTTGTCCCCCTATTAAGATGTGGCAGGTGACAGGGCCATTCTGGGAGACACGGTCAATGGAATTACAGCACATTATTTTTGTTCCTATAAAATATTGAAAGGCAAGCCTGACTGTGCAGAAGTTATTTCACTGATTTGGTTTTTATGTAAATAAAATATTGAAAGTTAATTAATCCGTGCTAGAGACTAATGATTATGCTTATTATATTGCATTTGATCGCGTAATTTGCATGATTCTCGCATTGCTGCTTAATAAGCCATTCCAGGTTATAAATAATTCTGAAATTGGTTTCTAATAATGGCATGCTATAAAAGGAATGGTTTTATTATAATAGCCAGAAAAGGGGAGCAATACCAGACATGGAATTGGCCTCTATGTGAGTAGAGGTGCTTTAATACTTAAAAGTATGATATATACCAGATATAGATTTAAAAAATAAGTATGTTGGAACATTTAGTCTACAACCAGAAAGCATCCTTAAAAACATACAATTGCAATAAATGAAATGTTTCCATCATTTTTAATCAGTGCAGTGGCCCACGTACTGAAAAGAATGTGTGGCAATCTGTTAACTATAAAGAAAACTATGAAGTACTCATCATATAAGAACATAAACCAATTACTATTTAATTTAAATTTGGTCAAGGAGCAATGGTAGAGTGAATTGTGAAGTAAATACATTTTCCATAAATTATTTTTGCATTACATTACATAATGTTAATCATTTTGAAATGTTAATTAAAAAGGTTATGTTGATCTGATTACTTTTTAAACTATGGAACATTATTTTTAAAAATATTGAAATTGCCATTCTATTAAATTGTTCCTATCAGCAGCCTCAAGCTATTATCTTTGCTGAGCATTATGCTAGAACAATTAAAGTACTTTGTCTCTTTCTTCTTGATTATTCTTTTGTGTACTTTTTGAAAATAACTGTTCCTATTATATAGTTTGTATTTTATTTCATTTACAACTTTTTCTATTAAAAGATTCACTGCCATTAACCTTTGGAAGATCTAATAAAGTTTAATAGACCTCGTTTTCTTTTTTCATAAAGTCAGTTGTCCAATTATATTTTATTTGTGATTCTAAGTTCTATTTTAATTTAAACTAATTATCAGTATGTCTAGGTTAAGCAATAGCATTTTACTCTTTAAAACAAAAATTATTAGATAGGTTTTCTCTTGAGAGACAAAAAGTAAATTATGAATTTTGAATCTACAAGATTCTAACAAGCTGGTGTTATCATTAGCAGTAATAGAAGTGTCGAAATGGTATGTGATTTTTAAAGTTTGGGCTCAACTTCATATTTAAAAGGAGGTGCAAAGTAAAAAAATATTAAGGAGCCTTAGTAATATTTATCTGCACAATGCAATTAACATTCTTTTGGTGCTTAATATCAAAGGCCCATGGTTCAGGGCTTCCAGCTTTCACTAAGGAAACCAACCAGTCTTATATTGAGTAAAAATATTAATCTATGTTATACCTGAATATTGCTTTTTAAATTTGACCACTTTAAGTACCCAATGACATTCATTTGCTGACTATTTAGAACAGGAGCACACACTATTTTTCTAGGTTAGACTATCTTTAAAATGCCCAATGGAGGCAGAAATATTCATCACTGTAATTATGGACACCCTGGTCTCTTCTTAGATCAAATATAAAGTAGCTGAGATATTTAAACTTAATTTATAAAAGAATCTAGAGCTGAGGTTGGTGCCCAGGATTAGCAGACAGAAACTACCAAATCCAAGACAGGAAGGGAAGATTTTCAGCACCCTGGATAGCTCATGATTATACTAGTATAGTGTGTGTCTTGAAATTTCGCCTCCAGCACTTACCCATAAAATATTTGATACATTGCTTTTCATTCTTTTAAAAAGTGGAGGAAATGAGATTCATTAGACTTATGCTTTTATTTACCAATTTACAGAAAAGTTGAAGGTGTGTTTTCTGTTATATATAATTTACAATTTGGAGGATAGTTGGACAAGAACAAGGGATCAGTAATGATTTTGTCTACTATCTGTTCAATATTTCCCACCCTAAACATCCTGTCTTCAGATCGGATATCCAAAACAGAAAGCCTTAGTTTTTCCCATTTCCTTAGGAGTAAGCCAAGTATTAGAGGCTGTGGGGGATCGCTGCAGCCGCCCTTAGAGCACTGGTTGCACCATTAAAATTCAAATTCTTTGAAAACATCAAAACTGGGGGTATTTTTGCCCGAGAGCGCGGGAAGGTGATATTCAGCAGAATAAAGCACCGTGAAACGCAGGTGTGGATCTTTTTTAAAAGGTGCCGCCACACCTTACTTTTCCCTTTTCATGTTTCTTGTATAATTGTTGCATTCCCCCATTTATCCAGATGCTAATACAAACTCATTAGAAGGTAAATGAAAATACTTGTCAATAACGCAAGCTGGAGTGGAAGTGCGCGCTCCGCTTTAGCCGCCTGGAGACGCGGGGGGTGGGAGACGCGGAGGTTTCCCTTCTCGAGAGGAAGAAGGCGGCTCAGTCGAACAAATGCCAGCTTCGCTTTTGAGGAGTTTCTGCTGGGATGTGGTTATACTGGTGGGAGATTGAGGCCCTGCCTGTCCATTGGAAGATGGCGATCGGGGCCAGTTTCCGGGCCGAGGAGCTAACTCGACCCAGGAATGCATAGGCGTCTGAAGAGAAGCCCAGGATCCCGGCAGGGGAAGGAAAGACCCCGCTGCCTTTGCCCAGATCCTCCCGCCCGCTCCTGGTCTCGCGTCCCAGCGCCCGCGCCCGCAGTACCTGCACTCGGGACTCGGTCAGCCCGATACGCAGCGCCAGCTCCTCGCGCATGAAGATGTCGGGGTAGTGCGTCTTAGCGAAGCTTCTCTCCAACTCGTTGAGCTGCGCCGGGGTGAAGCGCGTCCGGTGGCGCTTCTGCTTCTGTTGGCCCTGCTGCTGGCCGGCTTGGCTGGGGTTCGGGCCGCCTTGGGCCCCCGGCTGCTTGTCCGGGTCCTTCGCGCTCACCGCCAGCGAGGCCGGCGTGGAGCCCACGGTGGTGATGTCCTCCCCAGGCAGGAGAGTGGCTCCCTCGACTGGGTCGGTGTTGGGCGCCAAGTCCCCCGGATGGCCCCCGGGGTCGGAGCCCCCCACGCCCAACCTACACTTCACCGCCTCCCGGTGGCCCAGAAGCTCGGCGGCATCTTTCATACCTGAGGAGGCAAGGAGATCGCGGTCACTACCTTCCTAGCGGTGCCAGGAAGGACTTTCCCCCGCGTGAGCCTCCTGCAGCCCCATCCTCGCTTCCCTCCGCTCCCACGGTCGTTCTACGAGGAAAACTCCTAAGACGCTCGGCTGGGCTCCCCGGGATTGGGGCTGCCAGCTGCAATCCCAGCTCCCGGCCCTTTCCCCTCTTTCCGCATCCGCTCCCGAAGGCAGCACGTGCTCTCCTCTCTCCCAGTCCCGGCAAAGAAACACTCCTCGGCGTCCCTTTCCTGAACCGAACCCCTGGCGCCCAGGAACCCGAGAGCATATCCGTGAGGAAAAAAGAAAGGAAAAGAAAATTAAGCCGTTCCGAGGTTGCTGCCCCACCTGCATGTGCTTAGGCGGCTGGACGAAGTCTACCTCCGGCCCCAAGCCGATGCCCTCTCACTTGCGGAAGATGAATAAGTCTCAAAGCCTTCCACCCCCTGAAATCAACCCAAATCAGCTCCGCCTCCCCCTCAAATCAGAGAAAGTGTTTGGAAAATGGAGTCACATCCATCACCAAAGATTCCCAAACCGGAAACCCAGACAGCATTAAAGAAACTCAAGTAAATTCAGTAGACCTAGCAGTGAATCAAACTTTAGGGAATTCAACTTCTCTTCCCGGAGAAATAAAAGGCGCGTTCCTCTCAGCCACGGGCAATGCCGAGGAAAACGTTTTGCAGGCCACGGCGCCTGTGAGTGAATTTGGCTTTTCTCTCTTCTCAATGAGCACACTTAGCAATTCCGCTTCAATTGCAGTGGCTTCTCCTTCATCCAGATTTTTACAAATTCAATCACACTTAGAAGAGGAGAAGAGAAAATGGTAGTGGGGGGAGAGAAAAGGAGAGAAAAAAGAGAAGAAAGATATACCAAATCAAAGCAGACAGGACGGGAAAAGAAAGAAAAACACCTCCAAAGAAATTACGATGGGGTGGATCGCCTTTCCAAAAATAATAATAGTAATAAGGGAGAGAGGGGAGGAGAAAAAAATAACAAAAACAAAAAGTAACATTTCCCAACTCCTTTTCCCGGATCTACATATTACATAGATTTTTTTAAAAGATGATGTTAAATCAAATTAAACTTTAATGCAGCACAATTACTTTTAAAGAAATTAGTCCATTTAGGGCGCATTAGGGTAAAATAAGAAACAAATTGACAATTTCCTGCCCCGTCCTCTCCTGGCTGCCCGGGCGAGAGGCGCGCACTCACCTAGTCTGGCGTCCAGGAGGTCGGCGTGAGAGAGCATCGCGCACCGCTCCAGGGCGAAAGCTGTGCCCCCCAAAATTTTAGCGCCTTTAAGTTATTTAAAATAGATATAAGCTATAAGCTATACTATATAGATATATATAGATCACCTAAATGAAAGAAAATTCGGTTTGTGGTTAAAAAGGGGGCTTCTTGCATTATAATGTCCTTTAGAGAGACGGGGAGGTGCTTAACAGTTGAATGAACCCGTGAGCAGCTCGGCGAGGGGACCAATCAGGAGGGCAGCCTGCAAATGTCAGCGCCCGGAGAGTCCCCCACTCCGCCCGCCCGCCCGCCCGCGCCCGCCCGGAGGAGGCGGCGGCGGTGGCAGCCCGAAGGCTCCGGCCCCGAGCAGCAGCTAAAGCAGAGGCGGCCGTCTCGGCCTCGCCCTGGGCTTCCGGGCCCAGCCTCCGTCAGTGTTTCCCAGCGATTTTCTCCACGCACTCCTTTCCTTCTCCTGGTTCCGCCCTGCTCCCTCCAAAGGCGCAGCTGTGTCTCCTAGAGCTAGAATCTTCCTGGGGCTGCGGCAAGGCTCTGGACAGCACAGGGCGTGACCTCCGCGTGACCCGAGAGTTTTCTCCGCCTGCGTGCTTGTCCACGGCACACCTCCGAGCCTTGGGCCACGCGGGCCTGCCAATCCAGAGCACAAGGGCACACCGCGGCATCCAGACCGCGCGCACACTTCGCTGCCACCCAGCAGGCCTGGGCCTAGGGTCCAGACGCCCCGACTAGGACCCGAGCCTACCGGCTCCCAGGCCCTAGGCAGACCCAGAGCGCAAAAACTGAGTCAACTTCCTCGGAGCTTCCTGCGCCCGCCGCGGTGTCATTCATGAACTCTACCCGCTTCCCTCCCCGCTTCCTCTCCTCCGCCTGGCGCACATTCGCATCCTTCCCCACAACCCTCTCTTTTTGGTCAAAGTTTCTAAGTTCTGCTCCCTCTCAACTCCACTTAAGGCTGTAAATAAAGTTAAATGCTCTTTATTTTCCTCTTGAATATGTTAAACTACTTGAACAATTTAAAGTGCTTTGCACAAGTGAAGCGAACCATTTCTAATGTTCTGATTTTTCAGAGCCAGCCAACAACAAAGTTTAGATTAGTAATATATTTCTAACCAGAGTAATTTTCAAGATCATTAGGCATTTATGTAATTAGTGCCAAATCTATAAGCTTTTATTACGATTATTAGAGTAAAATCAGTATAAATTTGTACTAATTTACTACTGTTTAGACTTGGCTGTCAAGTCAAGAGGCTCTTATTGTAAATGATAACTGAGGAAATTAAGTGCAAAATTTCTGTACCATTTCTGATCTGCGCCTAAACAATCCGTTTCAATTGTATTTGTAGCAGAACATAATGCCCTTTTAAAGTTATTTGACTTGGATTTTTTATTTGCAACACAAGAAAAATGCCCTTCTACCAAGGCACAATGAAAACTGATATTTACTACTTCTCAATTTGATTAACATTGATTTTTAATTCGAGAGTGATGCAATTAAGATTATTCATTTAGTGCAAATAAAGCTTCCACAAAAGGGTGGCCCTATGAAGTCTGCTTTAAATAATGCCGAGCAAATGGCTTTTTTTGTTCGCTGTCCAATTGACTTACACAAAACATTGGAAATACTGCCTGAGAGCAGATGCGAGACGGGGTGTGTGTGTGTGCGCGCGCGCGCTCCCGCTCCCCCCCCCCCCCCCCCCAAGCTGTGTGTGTGACAGGGACCGAGCAAGGAGACAAAGGAGGCGGCAATGCGAACTCTGGGGCGGCAATGGAACTCCTTCTCTCCTGAAGCCCGTTCCCTTCCTCTCGTGCACAACACACGTGGGCGCGCACACACGCGCACACACACATGCACACGTGTGAGTGCCGGGCATCAGTCACACACCGGTTCCTTCTGAGCTGAGAAGACCGTTTCCCCGAAGCTCTGGGCCTGGCCAAGCTTCAGCAGCCGCTGCAGCTGCTGCCAACGCGGCCTCTGTGGGACCGGAGCCCTGGAACTGCGGGCTCCAGCTTGGCGGAGTCCCGGCCTCGGCGGTGTGTTTGGAAGCCGCGAGGATGTTCTTGCTTGAAAGGAAAATACCTGGACCTAAAGCAAATAGAGTCCTGCAATAAAACCTTCCCCTTCCCCAAACAAAACCCCAAATCTAGACGCTACTGTGCTGGGCACACGCGGCAGGAAGCAAGATAAATGTCCTAGGCAGGGCTGTGTGCGCCCTGGACTTGGCTTTCGAGTGCGCACCTGGCTGCATGTTCCCGAGGACTCTTGGGGGTTTGTGCCCACTTGGGTGGGGCTTGCGGGATATCTGAGACCGGAACGCAGGGGCGGAGGTGCAGAGACCTGTCAGAGGAAGAGACAGGGGCCCTGAGAGAGGCACGGGGCTTGGCTTCTCCAAACAGGCAAGTCTGAGCAGGCCGGCACTGCGGATACTCCGAACCCTGCCTGGAGAGAGGGAGGAGAGGCCAAGACCAGGGAAGAGAAGGAAAAGGGCGCGGCAGGGGGGGGGGGGGGGGACGGGCAATCCACACCAGTGTGCAACAAGCGCTTATGTCCTCATTCCACAGCCGCCCCCAGAACCACTGGCCTTGCAGCATTCTCCCACACGCACAGCTCATATATTCTGTTTTGTTGTATTTTTTCAGGTCGATAAATAAATGTGTAATAGTTAATGTGAAGACACATCAGAGTAATAACAATGGGACGAAATCAAAGGATTATCCATCTCTGTTAGTAACCGCTGAATAACAATGTTGCGGCGTGATTGATAGCCCGCTTCATTTTATGACTTTTCTATTGGTCTTGATTTTTATAGCAGTATAAACAAACTTAAATCATTTTTTTCCAAGAATTTCAGAACATTAGCTTGGGTTGGGGGAGGGAAGGAGAGATAAAGGAAAGGGGGGGGGGGAGGGAATCTGAGAGTGGGAGGGGGGAAGGAAGGAAGTGTGGGGGCGTCGAGGTGGGGAGCATGAAAGCTGGAGCTGGAGCCAGAGCCGGGATTCAGGAGCCTGCTGCCAGCAGGCGTGGCAAGGAAAACGACAATAGTCTGGATATAAAATGCTCGCCCCCGCGCCCGGTTCCCTCTCTGCAGCTCGTTTTGGCCAATGTCTGAATCCACCTGGGCAGGGCCTGAGATGTATTTACTAGAGTTTTATTCCCTGTCATCTTCCCACGTTCCTAGGGCAGCCGGGAAAGTGCCGGTCAGGCCCATTGCTATTGATAATTTAAGGTATTTCCCACATGATCATGGGAACTGAAGTCCCTAACAAGGCGAGGTTTTAGCGCAATGACCCCCAAATCTTCGGAATGACAATAATGTCTTCAGAAATCACTTCAAAGCAAAGTAAAAGGATTTTCTATGACGGATCCAGTGATTTTTCCTCAATAAATAGGTTTTAGATTGTTACACACACGTAGAAGTGGAACAAAGGGAACTACCAGAAAATATATTGGTTGCCCCTAATAAAATTTATTTAGACAGTTTATTCTCATAAAAAATAGAGATTGAATTTTGTACAAGAGCCTGCCAAGGGGCGATGCACAGGGAAATCATTTTTTTCTTTCTTCTTCCTCCCCTTCTCCTTTTTAACGAAGCACAAAGGCCAAGGAACCCGCAACCAGACCGAGCCAGAGAACTTTGTAGTATTTTGAGAAGTCGGCTTTCTGAGAGGTATAGATTTAAATATATAAGTCCTTGATGGCTAATTATGTAAACTACAAAAACAGAAACTACAAAATCGGTGTTTTCTTTTTCTCCTGCTTTGCCATCCTAGTACAGAGATTTAGAAATATGGTGTGACTGGATGGGTAGGTGGGATTAGGCGGGAGACCCGGATAGCGAGTGTTCCAATGATGGATATATGCTGATTTAGATGTGTACTTCTTGATTTCCCCTCTAATTGTATATCTGCATTTACTGTGAATCCTTTGTAGCGTCAGAGAGACAGACAGAATAAAAATATATACCAGGTGCTCTTTGAAGAGCTGGGTATTGTGCCCAGCACCCTAATTGCTTTTTCCACTTATGGAAACCTTGGGTGTTTATTAAATGTAACTTTGGGCTGCTTGGCTTGTTTGTAAACTGCTCTCTTTTCTTTGCAGACAGTGGGCTGAAATATGGCGTGCAGTTATTCACATTCCTGCTATTAAATGCTGAATTGTAACATTGTTCCCTTTAATGAGCAGCGCCTCCCTCAATAATTAACGATCTCACATTTTCCTATTTTCTTGCCTGATGAAAAGAATCAATTTTAATTCGTGGTAAATTACAGCCATGCTTTTGGGTATTATTTGCTTACAGAAAACAAATCAAGTGACTTGAACACTCCTGTTTACTTTTCCAGATATGCAATAACCCAAACGTAATGGCAAATCAGATCTTGTTCCTCAGGCCTAACTTAGAACCTCAAAAATAATAAAGGCTGAGGACAAAACTCGAGGGAAAAACAGAACGCTCTCAAGTTCACTTCGTTTGAAACAATGGTGACCACTTTTGCCCTTCTCTGGCTCCAGCTGCTAGAACCGATGCTCGCCCCCACCCCCACCCCTTCCCCGTCCCAGACGAGTGTCAGTGGTCTATACTAGAGTTTGGGACGGCTTAATGTTTGGCTCATTTGGGGGAGTCGATTAGACGGTGGGGTGAGTGAAGGAAGAAATCTGGGAGGGCAGCCAAGTCTCTTGGAAGGGGTGACAGGCGCTTCCACACTTCCCTGCATAAAAGAACTCTCTGGAGGTTCCCATTAAAAGAGACCATAGCCAACGAAGCTTTGGATGAGTGCTCCTGCCCCTGAGAAAGCCCCCTCCCGCTCGCTTTCTGGCGGCGGTTCTCTAGGGCTGAGTGAGCGCTTTTACCCTCTGAGCCGAACAGGACTGCCCTCAGCCCAAACCAGCATTCTCTCTAGGCTTCCCTGGGTCGGAGCACAGGGACTTCAGGCTGCTCTAGGCTAGAGCTGTCCCGTTGTCGCCGCGGAGCCCATGGCCTCAAAATCTCTTTGCCTATAAGA